TAATCTTGTTCATCGCCGTGCACGGCTATGAGTGGGATCCTAGAGTACTCCTGCAAAGAAACCGGCCGTTCAGCCAGCAGTGGTGTTTTCTTTCTCGTGGTGATGATTGATCTTACATTTGATACCGCTCCTCTCGCATCGTGAGGACGGCTCCAAGTGCTTCGCAAGGGATACAGGGCAAGGGTGGGTAATTAGAGTTAAGGTAAAGATCAGCCGTGGATCTTCTAGAATGATGGAACAGGCTTGAGGGGCTGAATGGCCTACTCCTGTTTCTATATACTGTAAAGGTGTAGTGACTGTGTCTTTTGTGGGTGAATGCTATCTAGATCTCGTCTAGTTTAATCACACTGCCTTGTTCGCTCCCCAAATCCTTCAGATTTTCAAACATACTGTCTAATCCACCTTTAAAAAGATTATTTACCTCAGCAATGGTTTGTGGCAGAGAATCCCACATTCCCACCGCCCTCCGTGGAAAAGAAATCTTTTCTAACCTCCCCTGTAATTTCTTTTTGTGACAGTCTTAAGTTTACGCCCTCGTGGCTAGCTCGACAACGAGTAAAAATTCTATCACAAGAATAACCTTGGAAACCTGCGTTGCTTCTCATGTGCAGTGAAATAACCTTATTGTGGTGTCCTGTTGAGCATTGGTTAGAGCGCTCACCTCGCATGCATTCCTGGGAACCTTAGGCAAGTCACCTCACTCCACATACCTCTGTTTATTAAGCAGGAAATAGGAACCCGGTTGTTAGACGATTGGCGGATCGATTTTCTGGGGGCAATGATCCCTTAAAAATCGTTGGCCAGGATCGTTATCCCTGCTTCTCCCCCTGCCTTCCACCCTCCAACAGATCGGGTCTGTAACTCTGTCTGTCCAGCGCCTTGGGACGTCCTCCTGATGTGAAAGGCGCTGTGTAAATGTCTTGTTGTTGTTGTTAGTTGATTGACAGATTGCTTTTCCCGGGATAACAATCACTTGCCCCCAAATAATAATAATAATCTGGTCACTCAATCCATGACTGTTTGTACACTGCTGTGCGCAATTGGCTGCCGCGTTTCGCCCACGAAATACACAGTCAATTCACGGTGTGATATATTCTGTGAAGCATTTGAGACGACTCAACGGCAGTATACAGCATATTCTGTGAAGAGTTTGAGATGTCTCAATGTCGTCATAAGGCGCAATATCAAATGCAAGGATTATTATTGTTGTCATCCTTCTTTCCAGTGTGGGGGGGAAAAAAAGGACCTGAATTTGGCGTCTATCAGCCTCTACCATTGAGAAGGCTCTTCCTGGCTTCAGCGATGGCAGTGTTTGCACGGCTTTGACTTGTGCCTTTACTTCTGCTGCATCTCATTGGGAACTGACAACTGATTCCCGTTTTTTTATAATCTCCCGGTTTGCATTCCTGCATGCTGAGAGGTCGCTTTTGTTTTAAATTGCCGTTTCGTACAGCTCCTTGTTGCATCAAAACCGCCTCAGACGACGAGTTCCCCTGAAAGGCGGGCTCACAGCACCGTTGTGTAGATGAACGCAGCGGCTAATCTACAGATAGCTGCATTGTCAGTGCTGCTCCTGCGCTCCGGATAAACCGAAGGCCCGTCTGCCTGTTCAGATAAACGTCAACGATCCCGTCATGCCATTTGGAAAGAGTGGCTTCTCCCGGTGTCAGGACCAATAGTACTCAGGCTAAAATTGTCATTTACTTCAAGGCTGTTTGTGGATCCTCCTCCTCACCCCACAAGCAGCTTTGATTACTCTTCAGGTCGTACTTTAAAAATGACCGCTTCGACCGCGCCTAGGGTCGCTTCTCCCACTGCTCGCAATCCATTCTCACCGCTGTAAAGCACAGTGCTTTGCCTTACGCGCTTTGCCCACAAAATACACAGTCACCCCACTTGGACAGTATCTCCTGTGAAGCGCTTTGAGACAGCTCAACAACGTGATAAAGGGCTATATCAAATGCAAGGATTATTATTATTAAGACTGTATTTTATGTGAAGGACGCTACATAAATGCAGTCACTCTCACCTCTGAGTCAGAATGTTGTGGGTTGAAGCCCCACATTGAGACCTGGGACGCAGTCTGGAAAGACGTACCAGTATGGTGTTGGGCACTGCTTCTTTACTGGAGGTGCGGTGCTTTGAATGAGACATTGACCTTTGAAGATCCCATGCCGCTATTTGAAAACAGATGGGAGTTTCTCCTGGCCAACAATTCTCCAAATAAAATCGGTCATTCACTTCATGGCTTTTTGTGGGACATTGCTGCATTTGCCCACGAGGTGCACAGTCACTACACTTTATAGTAAATCCTGTGAAGTGCTTTGAGACGTCCTCCTGTTGTGAAAGGCACAATGACAAATGCGAGAATTATTATAAATTGTCGTTTTTGCTTTGCTATATTATTCCTATAAATAGTCCCCACGTTTTCTGAGAAGGTTTTTAATGGGTTTTAAAGTCTTAAGTACAAGAGCAAAAGCAGCCACGTGTTCTGCTATAATCTTTCGCTCGGAGTGCTAAATTTACAGAACAAGCTTAATGGGCTGAATGGCCTCTTGATCCTGTGTGGCCGATATCTGTGGTGAGGTGAACGAATACTTTAGATCACTTAGCTGTTGAGATTGATCCTTTCATCTGCCAGTAAATAATTGACCACGGAAAAACCTGGATGTACCATCATTAGAATGGGTGACTTCAGCACAGTCCCGAGAGCTCCAGTGTTTGCCTCTGAAAGCTGACACTGGAATAACTACTTGCACTTGTAAAGGAAGAGCTTATATTTTTTTATATAGCGCCTTAGCGTGGCTAACATCTCAAAATGCTTTAGCTTGGCTCAGTTGATAGCACTCTCACCTCTGGATCAAAGTTATGGTTTCACAACAGGACTCTGAGCTCACAGTTCAATGCAGTAGTACTTGAGATATTGTCCACTGGGTGGACTTTTCTACCTGTTTGGGTTAGCGAACTTCGGGCACTATTTGAAAAGAATTTGTCCCAAAGTCCTGGCCAGCAATCCTCCATTCAATTTCAAGAGCGGTTTGAATGAAGGGGACTCCCCTCAACTCATTTAATCTCACCCTCGTGTCCCCTCATCGAGCTTTTTTTTAAATAAATGAGTACGTCCTGCCATCAAGCACCCTTTTTCGAACTCGTTCCAGTCTTTTTTTTGGTCAGCTGGGTGTCTTAACGCATGCAGAAACATCAGCCATGCTAAGAGTATCCAAACCAAGCTGAGAATTCCATACATCCCACCTACACATGGAGATCCCAGAGATAGATGGTTGGAATGCGCTCTCTCTCTCTCTCTCTCTCTCTCTCTCCCTGCTTACCTAATTCCAGAGAGTATTTGGCGCGGGTTGGCAAGAGCCAAGGCATGGAAACCCCAGAGGGTAACTGCTGGAGGCTAACCAGCTAAACCTGCATAGCTTGCCGTTGAAAATTGTTAATTACCCTCTTTGTTAAGAATTGTATTTTAAATTCCATTTTAAATTCCATTTAAAATATATATACAGTACCTTCGTAAAGTCTCCTTTGAGCTGTAAATTTTCAAAACTAAAAGAGCTCAGGATTGTTATATAATACTAGTTCTTGCATTTGACATAGCGCCTTATTGGCTGACAACCGGGTTCCTCCTTCAGGCTGGGTAAACAGAGACTTATATTATATCAATTATATATTATATAATGATTATTATGTAAAGCGCCGGCCTGCCCCACCATTGGCCGTCGAGCTTTCAGCCTTTGGAACTCCACCCCACATTCCCTTAGCCTCGTCCCCTTTGCCCCCTTCACGGCGCATCTCAAGGCCCTCCTCTTCGACTGCAAAGCGGTTAAGTGGGGCATAATCAGCCACAGGCACGCAGACTGTGGGTGCTAGAGGAGACACCGCAGAGGGTGGGGGAGAGGGCAGGATGCTCGTTGTGTTATTTACCAGGTTGCACAACCTGGAGGATAACGCAGCGGCTCGCGGGGAAAAGAGAGAGGAAGGGAGGAGATAATAATAAAGGCTATACTGAACCTGATTCCATTCATTCGAAACTGGCGTCACGGCTGTTGGTTCAGACGGGAGATTTTGAAATGGCATCTATGAGTCTGAACCCACTGATGGCCGTGACTCCTGCAAATCTCCACTCACCAGCCGGTGCCCGGCAACTAGTCACACTATCTGCCAGGCAGACTGCAGCCATATTGTTCAAAGCAAGATCCCACAATTGGCCATTAAGTGATGGGCCATTTTATCTGGAGAATTATTATGATCCTTATATTTGATATAGAGCCTTTCACGTTGGAGATCAGGGAGATAAGGAGGTGCCAGGGAGAGCATGGATTTGTCGGTGAGGAGATCTCAAATCGTTGCAGGATTTACTGTAAAGTCTAATGACTGTGTGTTTAGTATTGTTGGTCAGGACATGGGAGAAAGTCTTTTTCAATGCTCTCATGGGATTTGGGAATGTAGTCCCGTAGCGTAGTGGATAGAGCACTTGCCTCGCGATTCCCGGGCAGGGCGAAAGCTTAAGCAACTTTGATTACTCCACATGCCTCCTGCTAACCTAGCAGTAAGTAGGAACCCGAGTGTTAGTCGAGTGTCGGATCGTTTTCTGAGGGTAATAATCCCTTCCCCCCAAAAAAAAAAATTTGGTCACTCAATCCACAACTGTCTGTAGGACACTGCTATATGCAATTGGTTGCAGCGTTTTGCCCACGAGATACAGTCAATCCACTTTACAATATATTCTATGCAGCTCTTTCAGGCGTCTCAAATGCAAGGATTATTATTATCATTATTTTCATCATGCAGCTGAAGAACGGGCAGACGGGACTTCAGTTTAATTTCTCACTCAAAGGGCGGCAACTCCGACAATGCAGCACTCCTGTGGCACTGCATTGGAGCATTGGCCTGGACTGTGCGGTGAAGTCTGCACCTCAGTCTATGACCTCCAGGGCCGTGTGGGGCTTCTCCAAACAATTGGCTTTGGTTGACTGTGTGTATTTTTGTTGCAGGGAGTGGAGCTACTGCTGTGGTTCAGGCCGCCTACTGCATACCAAAGAAAGAGCGGGTCGCCATCAAACGCATCAACCTGGAGAAATGTCAGACCAGCATGGACGAGCTCCTGGTAAAGGAAATCTACACGTTCGCTGCATAAAACAACAACGTGCATTTATATAGCACCCTTCGTGTCTAGGCCATCACAACTTTTCGATAGATTTAGGATAAAATCATTTATTTCTTAAGGAATTATCACATTTGTTTAATGTTGCGCCGGCTAACTAACCTCCAGTTAGATCCTGTTATTCCAGCTGTAAATCAGAAACAAGAGGCTGTAAGACTGAGAACTCGTTTATGAGAACACAGTGAGAGGGAGATTAGAATTTCTTTTTATGCAAATGGTTAAGGAATATGAAATGCTTTGTCAGAAGTAGTTCTGGAAGCTAAGATCCCACATTTAACGTTAGGTATGTATGCTTACTTCACACGCCTCTGTTTACCTTGCAGTAAGTTGGAACCCAGTTGTTGGTTGATTGGCTGACCGCTTTTCTGGGGTAACAATTCCTTCCCCCTCCAAAAAAAAAAATGATTTGGTCACTTAATCCACGACTGTTTGAGGGAAACTGCTGTATGCAATTAGCTGTTGCATTTCGCCCACAAATATAGAGTCAATTCATTTTGTGATATAATCTATGAGGTGCTTTGAGATGTCTCAGAGTCGTGATAAGGTGCCGCATCAAATGCAAGGATTATTATTATTTAAAACTGAAGTTGTTTGCCAGTTGAAGGGAAACAGTATGGAGAAATAACTTTGAATTGCAGTGGGTGGCTCCAGTGAGGGAGCTTGCACGAGTGGATGCTTGATTGTCTAAATGCTCCGCAATATTTGTGGGCTCGTTGGGCTGCATGGCCTATTCTGTAATGTCTGATTCTGTGGGTGACGTTTTGCCATTAAAGCCTGAGGGATCATGTGAAAATCCCACTAGGCTGTGGTCACTCCTAAGTGTCAGGTTCTGAATTGCATGCTTTCACCCACTGGCAGCCAGTTAATGATGTGTGTGTCAGTGCTGGTTAATGAAGAGCCAGTGAACGGCGTGATGCTAGGCCTCTAATAGTAGGCTTGTCAGCAGCTGGCTCTCATCTTTAAACAGACTCCCATCTAACGTGAGGTGGAAAGATACTGCCTTCAGCTCTTCTCCACTGGCTCCCTATCGCCGAATGGATCGATTACAAGATCCTCACACTCCTCTTCAAATCCCTTCGTGCCCAGGCACCTCCCTACATCTCCAACCAGTTTACGTTGTCTGATGTGCCATCCTTTGGATGAGGCGTAAAACCATCTGTCTGTTGAGGTGGACGTTAAAGATCTTGTGACACTGCTGGAAAAGAAAAAGGAGTTTCTCCTGCCTTGGCCGTTAAACCTTCAGATAAACCGCTCGTTCACCTTGTGAGACCTTGCAGAGCTCAAGACGCGTTACATTAAACAGCAGCTTCTCCACAATTTCTGTGAAGCAGTGAGGGGTATTAAAGTGACAAGGAGCTATAAAATGTGAAGCTAATTGGTTGTTAATTCATGCAGGGTCACATTGCCTTAAGTGCATCGTACCACCATGGAGTCCCATTAATTAGAGCATTTGCCTCGCAAGCAAGGGTTCGATTCCCGGGCAGGGAGATGCCTAAGGCAACAACAAGATTACATTTGTATAGCGCCTTTCACGTCGGGAGGACGTCCCAAGGCGCTGGACAGAGTACAGCATTTCAGACCCGAGCTGGGTCTTTACTCCACATGCCTCGGTTTACCTAGCAGTAAGTTGGAACCCGGTTGTTAGTTGGGGTTTTCCGGGGTAACAATTCCTTCCCCCTACAAAAAAAAATAATAATTTGGTCACTCAATCCACGACTTGTGGGACACTGCTGTGCATAATCGGCCGCCACATTTCGCCCGCAAAATATCCAGCGTCTTGAGACGTCCTCCTGACGTGAAAGGCGCTATACAAATGTAATTTTGTTGTTACATACAGTCAATTCACTTTACAGGATATCCTATGAAGTGCTTTGAGACATCTCGATAGGGCGCTATATCAAATGCAGAGATTATTTTTATTCATTTCAGGAAATATTGATCAGCGGATGCGCTCGTTGCGGTATTTGATTGTTGTAAACATGATCTGTGTCTTGAAGCAGCAGTGGTTCTGACTGGGAGCAGGCCCTTAGATCAGCCCGTTTAAAAACGCTGCTAAATTGAGCGGGGTAACGAACAGAAAGAAGTTGAGGTTTTATAGCAACATGTCTCGCCAAAACGACTCCCAATTGTTTTGTGGGTAGTTACTGCTGTAGTGTGTTGACACAAGTCATTTTGCATACAGATAAGTCCCACAAGCAGCCAAGGAAGATTGTCGGCCCGGACAATGGAGGAAACTCCCTTCTCTTTTTGGATAGTGCCAGGTGTTCTTTAATGCCCACCTGGACTGACTGACCTCTGTTCAAGCTCTCGTTCGTGAATGCAGTGTGTCAAGTTGGACTCAATTCCTGAAACACTGACCATTTCCTGCATTGATGTGAGACATTGATGTGGATCTGAGCCCCACACAGGAATAACAACAACTTGCCCCCACCCACGTAGTTTAGCGTCCCAGAACGCTCAACAGTGCCTGAGCCGAGGCCGAGCTGGGGTTGGTGGAGGTGACCGTTGGCACGGTCGAAGAGGAAGTTCTTCAGATGCGATTTGAAGATGAGGAGGAAGGGGCAAGGCGGAGGGATAGAGGCAGAGTGTAGTAAAGTTTTTTTGTGGGGGTTGCATAGTGGCTGAAAGTGCGGCCACCAATGGTGGAATGGAGGGCCCGAGGGACATGCAGGAGGCTGGAGCCAGTCGAGCAGAGGCAGCATTATGGATTGGGGAGTAAGCAGGTCGGAGAGGTAGGGAGGTGCCAGGGCATAAAGGGATTTTTCCTATGAATTACACAGTCACTACACTTTACAGTATATTCTGCAAAGTGCTTTGAGACGTCTCAATGACGTGATAAAGCACTGTAACCAGGTGCAAGGATTATCATTATTATAATGATAATACCGCCCAAAGAAAGTTTAAGGTTGTGGCAGCTGGTTCGGGTAGGATGGGGATCAGCTGTAACAGTCTTCACGGCTGAGTAACCTGTCACCACTAGTGCCTGGACTCGTGCGTGAAAGATTAGCCACTTGGGGGAAGGTTCCTCTTGATTTACCTCTTTTCATCCAAGAAGCTTCCCGGTCACAGGCTTGTGAATGCTCACATAGGGTGATCTGGGGTTGCTGACCACAATTTGTTTTTGATGCCTTCTCTGTCGTGGATCGAGTAACCAAATTCTTATTAATATTTTTTTTAATGTTTTATGGGATTATTACTCCTGGAAAACTGCTCTGCCTAATGTTTCGCTCTACGGGGAATCATACCCGCGCCTCGCGCTTGCGATTCTAACCACTATGAAGAGGCCTGCTCTTTGTGATTGAATCCTCGATACCGCTAGTTCGCTCTCTCCTGTTGTGTCTCTTTCTGTGTGATGGAGTGGGCGCATGTATCCACACAAGGAAATTTCCCTGTGTCTGAAATGGAGTGCACTCTCTCGCCCTGAAGGGACATATCCTGCTTACTTAAATCCAGAAAGTACTGTATTAAGCACAGGTTGATAATAATAATAATAATCCTTTTGATATAGCGCCTCATCACATTGCCGAGACGTCTGAAAGCCTTTCACAGAATACTGTAAAGTAAATAGACTATATATTTTGTGGGTGAAATGCAACAGCCAATTACGCACAGCAGCGTCCCACAAACAGTCGTGGATTGAGTGACCAAATCATTTTTTTTGAGGGATTATTGCCCCTAGAAAGTGATAGAGTCGTTGCGGTAGCTACTGGAATTTAATCAGCGGAAACCTCATAGTTTGCCATGAAGAGCACATTCTGGCAAACATCCCACTGCTTGTTCGGCTCGCTTTGCTTGCAGGATTAATGGGAGCTCAGCAGGAAGCATCCATGTCCCGAGTGACCAGGCTGCTCATCCTCGTCTCTCCTATGAGCCAGTTTGGCCTGTCATTCGCAGATTCCTGCTGAGCTTTCCACATTCATCTCCTGTAATTAAAGAGTGTGTAGGATGTAAATGATTCAGGGGAGGCTCCATCAATCATTAAAGCCCCCAGCGATTCAGAGAGGAGATCCCACAAAATATACAGTCAATTCACTGCGGTATATTCTGTGAGACGTCTCGAAGACGTGATTAGTGCTATTTCAAATGCAAGGATGATTACTATATTATATATCCCACGTGCGCTGTTTCTCTGAGCAGCGATGTGGTGTGTCCACAGTGTGATTTTGCTGGAATCTGCTTTATTTTACTCTGCCCCCAAATGTACTTGGCACATCGAGGCTGTAGCTGTTCTTTTCTCCAAGGCTGAGGAATGTACTCGCCTCATAGGGTCGTAAAGTAACTTGTCATGAACAGTAAAATCTAGGGGAAGGTGGGGAAGAGGGGCAAGCTGACAGAGACAGGGTTGATTTGTTGCTCACCAGATCCAAACCATATAAGTTTCTTCATCCCAACCTCTTGTGATGAAATCTGGTTCGGATCTTTGTAAATTATATGCAGATTTAATTTGAATAGAAAAAAAATGTTCCATTGGAAGAGAGTACAATAGAAATTTACTTTATATAGTGCCTTTCATTTTGGGAGGATGTCCCAAAGCGGTTAACATGGGTGGGCACTGAGCTCGGAGCCAAAAATGGGTGAGAAGATGACCAAAAACACATTCGAAGAGATAGGTTATGAAGTGAACCTTGAACACAGCGACGGGAGGGAGAGAGAGGGGGCAGTTGGAGGGAGCACAAGAGCAAACCCTTTAAACACGAAACAGATCCAACTATCTCATGTGCAATCCCTTGTTGGAAGCGACGAGTTTGGGAGTCACAGGCCTGTCATTTAATTAGCAATCGTTTCACTGAACCAGGTCAGGCAGATGTCTCTCACCTCACGTGCCAATCTGCTCTGGCAGGATTTCTGCCAAGGATTTTTATGTTGCACTAACGGGCCTGAATAATGGGAGCTACAGTGCTGCAGTCTGTCAGAACCTTGATAGAATTTACCAGGATCCTCAGTTTACTTGGACAACTGGGTAACTATCTGCCCGAGAGTGGTATCCGAGGACTGATGGGCTGACTCACCTGCTTGGCTCAGCAGGTAGCACTTTCGTCTCTGGGGATGAAAGCTGTCATTTTGGGTGTTCGCCTCACAGACTAGAGCGACACTCTAGTCTAGAGTGTGCAGTCCTGTAGCTCAGTGGTTAGAGCACTCGCCTTGCAAGTGAGCGAACCCAGGTTCAATTCTGGGCAGGGTGAAACCTTAGGTAAATTTCATTACTCCACACATGCCTATTTAGCAGTAAGTGGAAACCAGTTGTTAGTTGTTTGGCTTTTTCTGGCTTTTCTCCCTCAAAAGAAAAAAGATGTGATCACTTAAGGAACACTGACAGGAACTGAGGTGGTATGTAAACATCTAATGGATTGTCGTCCTCGCTCTTTTCTCAACAGAAAGAAATCCAAGCTATGAGCCAGTGCCATCACAGGAACATAGTTTCCTACTATACCTCATTTGTGGTGAAAGACGAGCTGTGGCTGGTGATGAAGCTGCTCAGTGGCGGTGAGTCTGTTCAGGATCTTGAGATGCTTCAGAAAGCTCTGGCCTTTAATAGATCACATTCCTTTGGTTCTGCCAACTTGGCCAGGCAACTCATTACAGTTGTACTTCACTCGTTTCTCTCGACCGCATGCAGCACAAAGTGATGAGAAGCTATTTATAAACTCTTTGAACTCAAATTGGATGCGTTGTTTTAAAAGGTAAAAGATACTTGGGAAGTTAAGAGTATGTGGAGAGACTAGAGAGGCTGGGATTGTTAGAGCAGAGATAGTTAAGGGGAGATTTAACAGAGGTGTTCAAAATTATGTGGGGGTTTCGATAGAGTAAATAAAGAGAAACTGTTTCCTATGGGGAGTAGATCGGTAACCAAGGGACATAGATTTAAGATAATTGGCAAAAGAACCAGAGAAGCGATGAGGAGAATTTTTTTTAAACAGAGTTGCTACAATTTGGAAATGGTGATGGAAGCAGATTCGATTGTAGCTTTCAAAAGGGAATTAGTTAGTTACTTGAAAAGGAAAAATTTGCACGGCTATGGGGTAAGAGCGGGGACTAATTGGTAGCTCTTTCAAAGAAACTGCATGGGCCAGATAGCCTCCGAAGTTGGTTCAAAGGGAAAGGTATTGAGACAGACCTTGAAAGAGGTGAGGGCAGGGGCTAGGCAAAGAGACTCTGGGATGGAATACCAGAAAGCCCAGCTGCCGATACAGGGCAGTGGACGTGAAGAGGTACCATTTACCTGGCCTTTCCAATACCCCTGTAGCTGACTCCTTTTTAAGGTAAAGGGGTCATATAATTTTTTGATAGAAACCTAGTGATCCTTGCTTTGTGTTTGTGCTTTGCAGGTTCTGTGTTAGATATTATTAAACACGTGGTGGCCAGAGGAGACCACAAGACTGGGGTTCTGGAGGAGGCCGTCATTGCAACCATTATGAAGGAGGTGCTGGAGGGGCTGGACTATCTTCACAAGAACGGACAGATTCACAGGTAAGCACACCTGGCTCTGGCCTGGCTCAGTCCTATGGCCTTTCCTCTACAGGAGTCCTGTAAATTAGTGGATAGAGCACTCGCCTTGCAAGCGAGAGGATCCAAGGCAAAACCTTAAACAATTCACTGTACAGTATATTCTGTGAAGCGCTTTGAGACCTCTCAACAACGGGATAAGGTGCTATATCAAATGCAAGGATTATTATTATTAAGCCAACTTTTTAATAATTCAGTCTTAGAGGAAGGTGAGACACAGGAGATTAACTCTCCTACCCTGAGAGCTGTCAGGTAACTTTAAAGTCTTACTCAAGGGATGGCATGTCTAGCGATGCAGCATCACCCAGTTCTGGACTAAAATGTCAGCCACAAGTTGGAATTTCGGTTTTGCAGTCCAGGCTATGCTGATTCTGTAGTACTGGAATGCTGCTCTGTCAGAAGTGCCATCCTTCGAATGAGATGTTACGTTAAACTGAGGTTCCATCTACCTGATCAGGATTCAGTTTTTTTTGCTCCATTTCAGCCAAGGACAGGGTTAAAGATCGTGTGGAGGATTTAAAAAGAGAAAGGAGTTTGGGGTCTTGGCCAAAAATCCTGATAAAATTAGTCATTCACCTTATGGCTGTTTGTGGGATCTTGTATGCAAATGTGTTGCTTTGTTTGACTACAAACACATAGAATTTGCTTAGTAGTAATTATTGTGAAGTGCTTTGAGACCCATCAGTGTTGTAGATGCGATATCAAACAGGGATTCTTTTTTCAACATTCACAGCTGTGATGAATGAAAGTCTTTTCTCTGTTCCAGTGTCTGTGTAATGCTGTTTAGGCAGTCAGCACAGCTCCTAATTGGGAATGGGGGGAGGGGGAGAGAAATGCCACAATACAAACTAGCTTGCAATTATTGGCACACAATACATGGTTGGCGAGGTGGGGGAAAAGCAGTGCTTGGGGAAGACTAGTTGCATTTTTTATTTTGGTTAGCCAGGTATCCAATATGCTCAGAACAGATCTAAAAACCAGAAGGGAGATGAGGAGAAGCTTTTATTTGTACCCAGAGAGTTGTTCCAGTCTGGAATGCACTGCCTGGGAGGGTGGTGGAAGCAGATTTGATAGTAGCTTTCAAAAGGGAATTGGATAGGTACTTAAAAAGGAAAAATATTTTCAAAACAATGGGGTAAGAGTGGAGGAGTGGGACTTGGTTGGTAGGTCCTTCAAAGAACCGGCACAGACACGATAGGCCGAATGGCCTCCTGTGCTGTAAGATTCTTTAACCACAATAAATGATACTTGTATAACTCCTTTCACGTCAGGCGCTTTACAGATGTCGCAGGAGGACGTCCCCTTGCTTCAGAATGTTCCGATTCAGACAGTGTTCAACATACACCTGCCACCTGCACATGGGTATTGCCTGTGTCACGCTGTATTTAACCCACTAATGACCTCTGAGACCCTGTTAACCCCATATCAATTTGTCTGCTCCCTCCGCTCAGCAGTCTCTGGCCTGCTTCGCGTACCACACCCTCCCCATCATCAGCGGTCAAGTCTTCAGCCTCTATGCCTCCACTTTTGGAACTTCATCCCACTGTCCTTTCGCCTCACCCCCTCCCTTACCTCCTTCAAGACAAGTCTCAAGACCCTCCTCTTCGACTGCGCCTTTGGCCATCCTCCTACCTTCACTCTCCCTGCCCTCCGCCCCCCAGCTCTGGTCTAAATCCCTGACCTTCCCGTGCCTTGGGACATCCTCCTAATGTGTAAGCCGCTGTACAGCTGTGTGCTATCTATTCAGCTATCTGATCGGCGATGCTTTATCGTCCTTAGAGCTCCGGACGCTGACCTCAACAACAACAAGATTCCATTTATTGAGCGTCTTTCACGTCGGGAGGACGTCCCAAGGCGCTGTACAGTTGGGTCAGGATCCGAGCAAGGGGGAAATGGTCAGGGGGAGGGAAGGAAGGGAGCGAGGAGGGGGTAGAGAGTTGAGAGGGGAGCTGAAGGCACGGTCAAAGAGAAAGGTCTTGAGACCGGCCTTGAAGGAGGAAAGGGAGGAGGCAAGGCAAAGGCACTGCAAGTAGTTGTTGTTGAAGTAGGGAATACACACAGTCAGTCTACCCCTCTCCTGAAGTGATAAATTGAGGCCCCAACTACCTGCTGTGGTGGGCGATAAAGATGCCATGACACTTTTGGAGGAGAGATGTCAGTTCCTGATAAATCGGATATTCTTTTCATGGCTGTTTGTGATGATTTACCATGTACAGCATATGGTTGCCTCGTTTGCCTATAAATCAACAGAGTCTGTAGTGCTTTGATGCATTTTGGTATCACATGTTATATAAGATAATTAGACAGTGTTATGTACGAGAATAAACCATTCATTCCCCCTCCGTCACATGCTCCACTGAGCCCCGTTTAGTTTGCTGAGAAAATCTCTCTCCTCTCCGCCCCCCATTTCCCGCAGCAACCCTGGAGCAGTTTATCTAATCTTAACTCACATCCTACATTATTCATCTCCGACCAATCTCCTCCTTTGGCCTCTCAGTTCCCAGGCACCAGGAACCGTCATGTTCCAGCCGGCTTTTTGATTATCTCCATCTGTTCTCCCATCCCGTCCCCAGGCAGATAGCTATCCACGTCTGTCCAGAAAATTATTCAGTCATTTCAGGGATTTCAAGGCAGCCCCTTAGCTTTCTAGTGGGATTGCTGGATAGCAGCACTAAAGGCCCAGTTTGCTAATAGTGCGTCATGATCCCAGGAATCCAGTGTGATACTGCAACCTGCACTCATGAACCCCCTCACACACCCCTCGGGGCAAATGGTGGGCACGAGCTTCCATTATGTCAGTCTGGCTCAGTGGTAGTGCTCTCTCTCTCTCTCTCTCTATCTCTCACCTCTGAGTCAGAAGGTTGTGGGTTCAAGCCCCACGTTGGGACTTGGAATCACATAGTCTAAGCTGATGCTCAAATGTAACGCATGGGGAGGGGATTGATGGAGACACTGTTCTTTGGATGGGACATTAACCAGGTCCCGTCTGCCTGTTCAGGCGCATGTTAAAGATCCCACATCGCTAATTGGAAAGAGAAAGGAGTTTCACCCGGTGTCCTGACCGTCAACCTCCACCCCATGGCTGTTTATGGGATACTGCTGTGTGGATATTGACTGCTGCGTTTCACCCACAAAATACATCAATTCACTTTACAGCGTATCCTGTGAAGCGCTTTGAGACATCTCACGACGGGAGGAGGCGCTACATTAACTGCAAGGATTTTTATTTGATATTATTGGGTCTCTCTGAAATCGGGGAATATTACTCCTGTTTCTTCATTTATTGTGCTGGTAGTGTTATTTGTTGATTGCACAAACTAATGGTGGTTTGTGTGTGTGTGAGTGTCATTTTATAGTGTGAGCTGCTGACTGTGGCAAGCTGACTGCAGAGACAGAACCGGTAATACAGAAGCATTTTGTTCACGCTCAGCCACCTTGTCCCTCTCAAGTTGGTTTGGGAATTAATGAGCACTCGATGGCTGATGAAGCTACGCAGTGCTTCTCATTATATTTTGATCAATTGCGTGTCTGACACACATGGAAACCCATCGCCATGCTGATGCGGATTCAAAACAGACTGAGAACCAAGCTTTACGGAGTCTAAACACCAGAAGCAGCATAGCTTGCCGTTGGGGCTGTGGTTTGCGGGGTTAAGAGGGAGTGGGAAGTTGAGTGGGAAGAATCGCTGCACTGATCTGCTGCCTCTCCCAAGCCCTGGCGATGACCCAGACTTGCTAGTCTGTCATCAACAGTGCCTCGCAGACCCACTTGGATCAGGAACCAGACTACCATGCCCACCTCGCAAAGCACTTGGGACGGTTCCACGTAACAGCTACTGGGTTAGATGCAAAAACCTTGCATTTTTATTGCACATATTACTCTGAAACGCAGAATTGATTATAGTGATTACTCACTATAATCAATTCCGCTTCTAACAAACCCAGAGTTTTAATGATTCTAACGCCAATCCGGTAGGTCAATGGAGAGGGCTGCCTCTTTGACAGCTAAACGTTACGATAGTGAACGTCCTCATATAATGATCTTGATAATGATCAACCTCACTATAACTAATCTCTCGAGACTGGCGATCCTGCCAGTCTCGAGAGATTAGTTATAGTGAGGTTTGACTGCACTCTTCCGTTTCTAGCTTATTGCCTTGCACAACGGGCCTAAAAGACTCTGCTTCTCTGCTCCTCTCTTTCCCCCACTAACAGCCACTGGTTGTTCATTAGGCAATGCGATACAATACAATAGTGCCTTACACGTCATTGAGACGTCTCAAAGCGCTTCACAGAATATACTGTGAAGAGAATTGATTGTATATTTTGTGTGTGAAACGCGGCAGCCAATTGCGCAGCAGTGTCCCACAAACAGTCGTGGATTGACTGACCAAATTATTGTTATTATTTTTTTTTGAAGGGCTATTTACCTCCGGAAAGCAATCTGCCAATCGACTAACAACTGGGTTCCTACTTACTGCTAGGTAAATCCATGTGGCGTAAGGAAACTTGCCTAAGATTTCGCCCTGCCTGGGAATCGAACCCAGGTCCTCTCGCTCGCAAGGCGAGTGCTCTAACCAATCACTACAGGACACCAAGTAACTATCATTATGATGATTTAGGAGCTATTGTTCTGTGCCCTTGTATTGCATATGGTTCAGTAGCTTCTGTTAAGAATAATACTTTTTAGACATTTCATTATTTACGACATCTAAGCTTCAGAGTAGCCACGTCCTCATGCAGTGCCTAAGGTCCTAGAGGCAGTGCAGGGAGACCAACGAGGCTGATCCCGATTGTTGGAGGATTGGAGCGATCAGCAACAACAACTAGACAAGCTAGGCTTTCAGTCTTGAGAGGGAAGAATTCTGTCGGTGTGTAACATTTTAAATGAGATTCAAATTTCAATCCAGAACATACTATTGGATGCACCAACCAACAAACAAATTAATTTCTATAGCGCCTTTT